AACTAAGTTAATAATAAAAAACAAACTTCGGACCGAAAACCTCAACTAACACAAAAAAGCTCGTTCGGAAAAATTTTCAGAGAAAATGGACGCCGATGAGGTAAAAATTCCGCCACTTCTTCCGCAGTTCAGCCGCCGTACACCGCCTTCTCCACGGCGCCGCAGCCATTTCTTTTTCTTTTTCCTTTTTTTTTCCGACAGTATATGTCAACTACCTAATTCATGCCCTGTAACCACTTCGTTACCCTTGTTTTTGGTTACTTTTGTTCCTGCATTTGTTGTCGTGTTGCTTTGGAATTCGATCCTCTACTCTTTCTTGATTTTGTTTGCAGTTTTGGTTTGACTCTCGGAGGTGTTATGGAGTATTTTCTTTTTGTTTGTGTCTGTTTCGAAAAAATTCACCAAATCCATATGGTTTGCTTTGGTTTATGTTGTTTGATTTTTGGTGTATTAGTCTTGATTTTTGTCTCATGGCGCGGACAAGTTTTTCTGTCTTCTGTGTGTCGTGTGTGTGTGTGTGTAACTTTTTACGAGTTAATCCAGTAGCTATTAAGCTGAAAATTATTGAAATTGGGGTAAATGTTGATTCTTTCTGCTGGTATCTTATAATCTTTAAGCTATGTATGTTGACGGTTCTTGTGTTGTCGTGATCTGTGTGTAAAAGGGTTGTTTTTTTCTTTTCTTTTCTGTATTTGTTTATGAATTCCATTGTTTTGGTGTTGGTCTTTGAGTTCAGAAGTTGGCAGCATTAAAGAAGGCCTATGCTGATGTACTATTCAACATGTCTAAGGATGCTGCAATGAGGGTTATGTCGTCGGATAAAAGGGCGGCACAGTATCAGTATGAGTTGAAGGTGGCGAAAGAGGAGGCTTTGAGAATGCTGATGCGCCTTAAGCAAATGATGGAGTTTAAGGTGAAATTTTTGAGTTTCAACTTATGAATTTTAAGTATAGTTTTATCTAATGATGGATTTATTGGGGAGAGTACACTGTGTTATGAAATGGAGTGTATTTCAGTTGTCATTGATAGTTTTAACTTCTCTTTACACGAATTTGCTGATTGCATTTTACTGATGATTCACGCATAGTGTAGCCTTTGTGATGTCTTTTATTGGTTTGTTTGGAACTATGGTTTCAATGTTTACCTAAGCTAGTTTTTCCATCTCATAAATCTTTTGTTGAATTGGCTGTTGATTATTTTGTATAGTCGGTTTTCTGATGAGGATTAAATGTGATTTTTTTTTTCTGTTTTCATTTCACTAATTAAGCTTTTCCATCCAATGATTCTCCAAGAACACAGATTTTTGAATGTTTATTTGTGATATTTTAACCAAATGGAAAGATTGTACTTGAAATGAATAATATGCTCAATTTTGTATTGGTTGAAATTGTAATCTTCCTTTTGAAAATGCTGATAAGCATTTTTTTTTGTTTTTCTGCTTATTCGATAGTTAATTCACTTTGTTTCTCTGACCGTTGTCTATTTATTGTTTGGCTGAATTAAAGAGATCTACTTGGCATTTATTTATGCCTGCGGATGCTATACGCATCAAAGTTTCGAGAAGTGGCATTGATTTCATGATTTGTAAAGTTGGAACGTGTCTTTATCTATTTGTCACACGAAATTTCCTCAATTCTCATGCGGCCAATAGTAAGCTAGCATGTGCACCTCTTGCAGATTGTCAGTTTTGATCATATGAAGTAAAACTATTTTAACATTCAAATGTCTTTCTCCACTTGTTGAATCACCTTTTCTTTTTACATGGTTGCAAGCATTCCCTTATTTATCAATATTTATCAACATATGGAGATGATATTACTTATATGGCTGTATATTTGCTTAACTTTTCAGACAAGTCAAGCTGAAGCTGCATCTTTTAATCAGCAAAAGAAAATTGAAGTGCTCGAAGCTCAACTTGAGGAAGCTGAAGATATTGTAAATGATCTCAGAAATGAATTAGGACTGGCACAAGCTGAACTCGAACGAGTAAGGGAAGACAATTTGCAGAATTCGAATAAACCAACCATTGCATTTTCAGGAGGAACGGAGGACGGTATGTACTCATATGACTTCGGTACATCCTTTCCTCCAAACTCCCAAGATAAGAATTCTGATGTAACAATGTCGAACCCGATACTCAGAAATCCGTGTTGCAAATGTGGCAGCGTGATACTTTGCCAATGTAGTTCTTATATTAGGAATCAAGATTTACCTTCTGTAACAGTTAGAGTTAAAGACCCTGGTTTGCATAGAAATGGTTGCACCCAAAGAATTCGTGCGTGTGAGAAGAATCTCTCTGATGACACGCTGTGCCTCTTGGGGAAAAATGATAAAGTACATGACAAGAAGAATAGCAGAGAACAGATGCAAGGGTACTTCCTTTGTTCTTGCTCTTTATTCATATATATATATATATATATAATATTGTGCCCGATATTTGGCCCCTTTGTGAAATGTTTTGGTACTTATCTTGGCAGGGAGAAGGAAGAAGGTGAAGATACCAGCAAAGCACCAGCTTCTGCGGATAATACTATGAGTGAACTTGAGAAAAAACTTTTACCAGATAATATATTCAGAAATCTGCAATATATTTCGTGTAAAAGGAAAAGAGCTGCCAGGAAAAGGAAAAATGTGGCGCCCTTGAGAGTGGGATATGATTCTGATATAGTCAAAGACAGTGATTGCCTGAGTGAAAATCTGTTCGAAACAGCTTCAGTATTGTCTCAAATCAAAACTGAAACGGGGTTTTGTTTGGGGTCTGAAAAAATTTTAGGAAAAGAAATAAATAGTGTGGAAAGTACACCACAAAAAGATGAAGGATTGAAGGCAAAACCGGTGCATTTTGATGATGGAAATGGTTCCTCTTCACCTGATAGTAAAACTGATTTTGAGAAGGTTGGTGTGTTGTCAAATGGTTTAGAGTTGAATTCAGGTTATATGAGTCCAGGGCTTACCGAGTTTGTTGGAGAAAGAGTCATCAAGTACACGTTTCAAAGGAAGCGTAAGAGAGAGGCTTTGGTGGGATCTAATGTGAATGATGCAATTGAGACAAAAAAGAAAACAGAAGCTAAACAAAATGGAGTTCAGAACTTGAAGCAATCTAAGACTAGCTTGTCAAAGGAGTCAACGCGAGAAAGCAGACGATTGGCACAAGTTGCTCGTCAGGTCAGTGCATAATAAACTGATTTCCTTTTCTTTTGTTGGGTTTCATAGTTTAGTAGCCTATATCATATATTCTTGCTGAGCTTCATTGCTGAACTTGCAATTAAAAGATCTTGATATATTTACGAGTAATGCTACTCGACATGTCATTTTATAGCTCAATTTTATGATTGTGGTCATGATTATGTAAATATTTTCTTACACAATGCTTATCAAATAGCGTCTTCCTTTTCATTTTTCTTACATATAGTCCTTGGCGGTTGTCAGTATTTGGTTGTTCGTGTTGAATATTCAACCTGAGCCTATAAGACCGATCAATATAAAGACTCTACCTTTGTCATATATTCCATACATCACACTAGATAGATATATCCTATTCATGGAATAAGATGCACTTTCAAGATGCCTTTGGTGGTGAAATGGTAGACACGCAAGACTCAAAATCTCGTGCTAAAGAGCGTGGAGGTTCAAGTCTTCTTCAAGGCATAATATTGAGAAAATTCTAAGTTTTCATGTACTCCAAACATTTGATTTATCTCGTAAAGCTTATCTAGGGGAGCCGTGATTTCATGTTTATGTTCTAACAATTATTGGTTTATTCATTTGCATTAGTTAAATTCGGAAAAATCAATTCATTGGCTAAATATTGCTTGCTTTTGATGTGGCAGCTTATTTCTTTGTCCGAGAAGAAGTGGTGGGACTGAAAGCGGCACTCAGTAATATGAACTTAAGAACAAATTCCGTAGGAGAGTGATTCTTGTATCCTCGATTGCTCGACTGGAGAAAAGTGGCACTTATGGATATCAAGAGCGATGCATAAATAAAAGCATGTAGATTCGAATTTGGCTCCACATACTTTGATTTATGCATGAACTTTTATTGTACAGAGTAGTAGTGTGTACTTGTCTGTGTGTGTAGTTCTTCAGTTTTCAGATGTTGTCAGACTTCCTAAATTGATCTGAGGTGAACCCTTATATCTCATTCCTTGATATTTTTGTTTGTGGGTTCATGTATCCAATAGTCCTTTATGGTCATTAAATTTCATGCAAGAAAGATAACCATAAAGTATAATCAAAATGGTGAAAAATGGTTAACTGGTTTTAATTTAACAGCTACTTGTTTTCATGGTCCGTTATTGTCCATGCCTGCACGAGTTTCTGATAATTTTTGCCACACATTCCAAACAACATTCATAGCCGGATTAAAATAATTGAAACAAGTTATCTACTTAATACTTGATACAAATGCATATACAAATCATAGAAATTGGAAGTAAATGATAGTAAAACAGTAGATAGATTCTGACATCTCATGGAAAACGCAATGTTATTCCATTTGGTCAGGTCAGAGGGTGCCTGAAATTTTGAAAACATCCGAACATAATTACGTGCAACGGAACTTCAAACAGTTCAGTTTTTTCCAACTCCACTCGAGGAAGCTTCCGGAAGCCCCGGGGAGCCTCTCGGGATTTCAGCCAACGGGTTCATTACAAGTCCATGACCTCCACGAAAGTGAATTCTCTGGTTCTGGTCGGGTATGCTGCGTGCTGCTGCAGCCAGTGAAGGGGTCCCACGAGTGGATAATCGAGAAACTGTAGCAGAGTCTTCCGGTTTTCTCCAGAGCTTGGAGCTCAAGAAGTCGGTTACTGGAAACTTGCAGCACAAGGTATCGTTGTTTGGAACCTTCTGGTTGGAGACAGCTAAGTCGAATGAAATTTCATCCAAGGCCAGTTCTATACCGTGTACACGTTTTTCCAGAGAGTGAATACCATTCTGTGAGCTCCCAATAAATCCCTGAATTACACAAGAATGAATAAGTTCGAAATGTCAATCACATTATATATTTTTGTTCCCCCCTTTTTCAGGGTGCCCTTTTACCTGGAGAATTTCCAACAAATTTGATTGCTGATTTTCAATCTGCAAAAGCTGCTTACGGATCAAAGACAGGTCTTCATAGTCTCTCGGGTCCTCAAAATCGTTTCCAGCTTCATTACCAACCACAACACTCGCCTCACCAAGCTTGGGTAAATCGTGCTTTTCATTGAACAGGGCTCGTCTGATCCCAGGTTTTACAAATGGTTTTATTTCTTCTTCGATCTCTGAAACTCTTTGGTCCACATCCAAAGGGGTATTATATTCTGTAACCACTGGGCGAGAAGAACCGGCAGGAGCAAATATTTCAGCTTTCAAGTTGGATTGCTTTTTGTGGTCTAATTTACGGAACATTGGTGGACTCTTTCTGTTTTCATTAATACCTGCCGAGCGTTTTCTCCTGGCTGTCAAAGCAGGCGAGCCACTGGTAAATTGTGCAGGTCTTTTAGTTGGGTCGTTGAAAGAGCTACTTTTAGCTCCTTGAGGATTTTTTGATCCATCACTAGCGTTTTCTGTACCCACAAACAAAAATGCGAACAACTTCAGTGTAGAGTAACATACTCGACGGTAATGCAGTGTCTAATATTTTAGTAACAAATGTGTTGATGAATGTCCATTGAAATATAAATGGCAGATTAAAAACTCCATCAACTAAAGTCCAAACATGAAATGGAAAAAGTTACAATGACAGCCTCAAGGCTACATGCAGTCAAATACTTGCACTACAGAACAAATCAACAACCAACAATTTACAACCACTTGATCGTAAGATTGGGTGCAACTACTATGAAAAGTAGATCACCAGAACAAAGATGAAAACAAACCCAGCAACAAATTTGAACTTTGAAGGAATCAAGAGAATGAACTGAATTGAGAGCAGGCTCGATAAACATTCATGACAGTCGATGATAATTCAAAACAAAACCATCAACAATTAACACAAATAGTGGTTCAATTTGTTTACCTTTAGACGACGGCTGAGATTCAGGCAGTGGTGAGACCTCATCGGGCAAATCGGGAATATCCTTCCAAGCTTCCAACAACTGATTCATAGTCTCCCTCACAGCTTTCACCTGTTCAAATCAACCCACATTCCCTATCTTGTATTACAACACACATAAAATCCCAAATATGTAAAGCAAAATGAAATAATAAATCAAACCCATTTCACCCAAATCGAAAAGATCAAACCTTGTCGAATTTCTTGGCTTCAAAACTCTTCAAGCAAGAAGCTTTATGCTCCCAAAGCGCGTCTTTCTCCACCGCCGCGATCTTCATCAATGCCTCGGCCGACGATTTTCTAGCAGCCCAATCTTCACTGCTCAGAAACTCCATCAAACACATCACCAAGTTCTTAATCACATTCTTACTGCTGCCGGTCAAAACTCCCTTCACTCCGACTACATTTCCGATCAGTGCCAAGATCGCCGCCTTAGCCTTGAAACCCTCACATTTCGCGAGCTTCTCGAGTCTCGGCAGTAATTTTCTCAAGCTCCCCACATCCGGATTTCCAGATCCCTCAATCACCGCCGCCAGGCACAATGCGGCGCCGTTTTGTGCGCCGGAATCCTGCTCAGTGAAGAGGGCTTCGAGGAAGGGTTTGGTGACGGCGGCGAAGGGAGCTGAAGTGAGGTTCGAGGAGAGGGAGAGTGAGGCGGCGACGCAGGCGGAGCGGACGGAGGAGTCCGGGTCGCGGAGGCGGCGGACGACGGCGGAGAGGATCCGGGAGAGGTGTGGGGAGAGGGAGTTTCCGTGGTGGTCGGCGAGGACGGCGACAAGGCGGACGCACTGTCGGCGGACGGGGGACTTGTCTGAGGAGTCGGTGGCGGAGATGGAGGAGAGGAAAGAGGGCAAGGCGTCTGCAGGGAGGGTTCTGGAGATGGATTCGAGCTCTGACGCGGCGACGGAGTGGGTGTCCCGGTCGGCGAGCTTGTGGAGGCACGCGAGCACGCGGTGCTTCAGCTCACGCGCCTGCGTCTGCGCCTGCTTGCTGGGGTTTGTGGCCGACATTATTTCATGTTGGAAGAGTCGTCGAGTTCAGTGGTGGTGGTGCCGCCGTATCGCCGGCAGCATTGGCGGTGGTTCGCCGGTGGGTGGTGCTTGAAAGCTCTTGTGGTCCGATTGATTTTATGCGCAGGTGATAACGATTACAGTGTTTGGAAAATACACTTGCAACGTCGTTTTGTGGGAGATTGCTTAATGAGCTATCATACGCTGTCGTATTAGGTTGGCTTCTGTCCCCGCCATATATTTTCCAATTTTTTTATTAGGAAAAGGGATGATTTAAATATTAGACAATTAATTAATGGGGAATTTATGCATGTTTTGATCTATAATTGTGGGATTAAGAAATGAGATTAACTGGACGTTAAGAGGAATGTTTTGATCAATGGATTAATAATACTAAATCATGTGATTAATCCACAAACCGGCCGTCTTTATTTTGTGTATTTAAATTTTGATGCATAATTAGATGAGTGAATATACTAGTAAAATTTGCGCATGAGCTTGATTCGTTTGAAACTCGTAATTAGACTTGATAAATAGGTTTTGTTAGCGTATTTTTTTGAACTTTTAATTAGCATATTTATATTGTTAAGACTCATTAACGAGCCTTGCTCGAGCTATTTTATCGACACGTTAACTTTCCATTGGGCTCGATAAATGCTTTAGTCCAAACTCAAATATCAGAAATCCGATTTTGACTCGACTCATTTACAACTCCATATACTAGTAATACATTATAAATAATGTTATCACATCATATATGTAAATTTCATCTATCATGACAAAATTTCAATATATTAGCAATACTTGGATTTATTATGGAAAACTAATTAATCCAATTTTTTCACTTGACATACATCAACATTAGCTAATTTATTTTGATCAGCATGAGCTATGCATGAAACTCTTATTATAATAAGCTTAATTGAACTATTGATTTCACGTTGAAAAATCACTGAATCCAGATTTTAGTTTAACTTTACGTGACAATCTAACGTAATTAAACTGTAGTTAGACTTCTTCCAACATAAAGTGATTGATATATTTTACCCCGCGTGATAGCAAAGTTGTTGGTGAAAGGTGGGATTCTTTTAGATCTAATGTCATCAACTTTCAAGTGTGTGGATATGTTGAAATTTGTTTAGTTTAACTAACCTATGTATAGTTTAACTAACCTATGTATATTAAGGTCTCCTTTACTTAAGCTCGAATATGATCAGGTCATTTTAAGATCCTAACTCGCCATAATATATACGTACCAATCCGTTAATTATTCCCTCACCAGATCGATAAATCTATTTCGATTGAGTCGTTTCTTGCGACCTGATACGAACGATCTAGCCGACCACATCACTCGAGTTAATCATCATACTTTTTAAACGAAGTTGTATATTTATAATGTAAAATTTAATTATTTTTTTTTATATCAAAATATATTACTTTCTTAAATAAATAATATATTTAATAAATTGTTGAAAAAATATATCTGTATACTTGAGCTAAGCACTATTCAATATCTAGGCATGTTTGTTTACTTGCATGACCAGTTCGTCTAATTAAGCTACTATAATTCTGAAGATTCTTCACAAATGTCAACAAGTTCTTCAAATGAAATAATAATATAAATTCAAGGCAGTCACGAAAATTGGAGTTCTATCTTCTAAGTCAAGAAATCAATGTGAAGATAGATAAGTAGGTGTTAGCTATTAAACAGATGGTGCAGTTAAAGCCGTTAATTGAGCTTGTTAATTAATTTGGTGTGGTGAGTAGGGATATAATGATAATTTAATGACCATCATTGTCCTTATTAATTAATTTTTTTTTTCCCTATCCATTTTAAATTACCACTGCCGGATTAGGCAATTGCCTTCAAATCACCAGTTCAATCCTTGCATCAAATTATAATTTGGGTGAGTTGTAAACTGAATAACAGGCAAAATTGTAATTTTAGTCCTGTTGGTTTAATCTAGTTGTCTTTTTAGCCTAAAGAATTGAACATTTATGCTATTTGACCCTATGATTTTAAAATTCAACGCAATTTCAGTTTCTTGGTACTGAAAATGTAACAAAATGTAAAATTACAGGACTTAAATTGCTAATGAAAATCTTTTGGATTGATTTTTTATTAGCAATTTAAGTCCTGTAATTTTAAATTTTGTTGCAATTTCAGTCTCAAATGATTGAATTGCAACAAAATACTAAATTACATGATCAAAAGACAAAAAATTGAAATCTTGAGACTAAAAATGCTACAACGTTAAATTAGCAAGACAAAAAATGCACCTCTGCCTCTATAATATGAACTACAATTCACAGCAATTTCAGTAATCCTTTGAACTCAAAATCATTTAAACATATTATTGCAAACATATATAAATATTCCAACTAGATATATTTTTGTTGTTTGCTACATATATAATGATATTTTTTCCACGGTTACATATATCAAAGACTTTAATCATGTCCCAAGTGGAAAATGATATACCAAATTATTAAAAGCCATTATCAATGGTAACCTGTTTGTTTCCTTACAGAGGAAATGGCACATGCCTATACAAGAAAATATGAGAAATGAAATTATTGAGTTCACATGTAATTTTGGCAGTTTACGAAAAACGGAGATGGTCTGTGTGATTAGCATTTGAGTGGTGAAAAATAATTGTGTCATTTTATTTTTTTTAAGATTTAAGAATCATAAAAATTTGGCTAATAATTTTCTAATAAAATTGATGAAAATACGTAATTGATAGGTAATGTTTGTATTTCAAGATGATTAAATTATTTGATAGATTATTTTATATATAAGCCCTGCCTTATGGACTTACGAATAATATATATCCCATTTTCTTGTATGTGGAAATCAGTGTTCTCAGAGTATGTGACCATATTTGTATCATTAACACATTATGAGCGCTCAGAGGTTGTTATATGTTAGAGAATTTATTTAAAAACAGAGCCCCAATTTGTTCTTAACAGCAGAGCTTTTATAATTTGTCTATACATGAGCTTATGCCACGACATTGATCACTTACCTTAGACCCCCTAAAATATATATGTCCAAAGATATTAAATTGTGACATTTTGGAAGTTAGTACACATACAATTTATCTAATAATGTTATGAGCCCACTACCACGGTTATGACGAACCCAATTATGGGATACTGTATAAAATTAGCTTATATAAAAGAGATGCATGTGAGCATTAGTCCAGTATTTGGATACTACTATGTGCAATTTTTCTTGCAGTGTAGTGACTAGTGAGGCACATAACATGGAGGATAATAAATTTCTTGATTTAAGCAAATGAAGCATTTGAAAAGGACAAGAGTTATAAGCGACTTTGGGATTCTTATCTTCGTACATGTATACAGTATACACACGGACTTTCTTTGATTGAGCATGCATAACATATGGTTTTACATAATAGGATATGAATTGGGCACGCATTGCATATGATTTTACATATTAGTTATTTGAGCAAAATAATTAGCCTGAAGATGAATATGAAAACTCTTGCCTAAAAATAAGTAATAATAATTTAGTAAAATAGATATAGAAAATTATCAAAAGTGAATGTTCCGAAAAGATCAAACTGATCACTTTAACTACCATAAACAATCATGCGATCGCATGATCGCATAATTACCGTAGAATTTTTCATTGGAGTATGACTTTTTTTTTATAGTGATGCACATATTTGTAATATAAATGAATAAAATAAAATATCATTATTATTATTTTTATTTAATTATTTTGGTTTTTCATGAAATATTTAATTTATTTCAAAATTACAAAATTTCATAATGTATACTTACAATATTGAATAAATAATATAATTAACTTACTCATCTTTAACTAGTATAATAGATAACTCTTTTTTTTTATTATTTATAAATGAAATATTGGTGTTAAATAAAAATCATTAAATTAATATTAAATTTATATATTGTTTACAGAAATAGACAATATTTGATTTTTTTTAGAGTTAATGTTTAAAAAGTATGATATTCAATTAAAAATAAAAATTAAAAAAGATAATAAAAATTGTGTAAATATTAAAATAATGAGAAAAAATGAATCATGAATAATATAAACATGTCCAACTAATATGGCAATGTAATTATACCCTAATCTTTATTGAATATAAATATCTATTTTCACCCCGTTTTGAAGTCTTGTTAAGTTTTTCACACCGCTCAATAAAAAGCTAAGTTTTTCACCCCGGAAAGTGCGAAGGTTATGCGAAAACTGTCGCATATTCATCGCATAACTGTCCATATGCGAAGGTTATGCGAAAAAGTGTCGTATAACCGTCACATATCAATTACATAATTGTGCGAAGGTTATGCGAAAATTGTCGCATATTCATCGCATAACTGTCCATATGCGAAGGTTATGCGAAAAACTGTCGCATATCAATTGCATAACTGTGCGAAGGCACTAATATGCGACAGTTATGCAATTGATATGCGACAGTTATGCGACAGTTTTTCGCATAACCTTCGCATACGGACAATTATGCAATGAATATGCGACAGTTTTCGCATAATCTTCGCACTTTCTGGGGTGAAAAACTTAGTTTTTTATTGGGCGGTGTGAAAAACTTAATTTGTCTTTGTTATGGGGTGAAAAAGATTTTTTTCCCTACATATATATAGGGATTCCAATGCATCTACATTCTTAAAGTGAGGACATGAGACTCATTTTTAGCCACAAGATTTGGTACATCATGTGTGGCCAAGATTTATTTTTTTCTTTTTATTATTTTAATTGTTTAAATATTATTTTGACCTGTTGACTCCAGCATTGACTGTTGACTTCCGACGTTGACAGTTGACAACTAACCTTCCAACTAGGTTAGTTCTTTGTAGTGGCTAGGTTAGTTCTATGTAGTTGCTAGGTTAGTTCTTTGTAGTTGTTAGGTTAGTTCTCTGTAGTTGCTAGGTTAGTTCTCTGTAGTTGCTAGGTTAGTTCTATGTAGTTGCGATGTTAGTTCTCTGTA